AGAGCCGAGCGCTATGAGCTTTGGGAAGCCCCCATGCCTCCGGACCCTGCGCCGGCGGAGCCCAGGAGGGGGAGTGCCCAGGGTCCGGGGGCGCAGGGTCCAGAGGCATGGGGGCTTCCCGAAGTTGGTAGCGCTTGGGCAGCTCGGCGCTTACAGAGCCCAGGAGTTCAGGGAGCACAGCAGCCACCGGAGCCCGGGAGGGGAAGTGCCCGACCTGGGGCTCAGGGTCCGGAGGCATGGGGGCGGCCCGAAGCCCGAGCGCTACCGGCTTCACGGTTTGCCGGGCAGCCTCCAGACCCTGCGCCCTCGGCTGGGCGCTTCCCCTCCCGGGCTCCAGCTGCGCTGGGGAAGTGCCAGCCCGGGGCGCAGGGTCTGGGGGCTACCTGGCAAACCGTGAAGCCAGTAGCGCTCGGGCAGCCCTTTCCCCCTGGCTGGGAGGGAGGAGGGAGAATGGGGGGGGCGCGGGGACTTTGGGGAAGGGGCAGAGTTGGGGCAGGGCTGGGGGTGGGAAAGGGGCGGGGCCAGGGCCCCGTGGAGTGTCCTCTTTTTTTATTTTTTAAATATGGTAACGCTAAGATACAGAATCTACTAAAGTAATTGGTTCTCTGCTACTGCAACTTCCAGTAAAAAAGACTAGTATAGGGAATTGCTTAACTCTAAGTTCACACTTACCTACCCATAACCAAACCAATGTATATTATTTATGCATCTCCAGCCCTAACAGTCTTCCTTTCCAATGACTACACAACTTCTTAGAAAGTTTGTGAATATAAATATCCCCAGGCTTTAATATGGTAACTGGTTATAATACAGAGAATTTGACCAACAAATAATCTTATTCTAGTGGATGTTTAAAACTCTCTGTATTTACTTTTAAGGAATGTACACTTATCTATGTTTAGATGCTTATATCACTTGTCTGTCTCTCTCTCTCTCCAAAATACTGGTAAGTCCATGTATATTTGTAATGCGAGTAATCATTACCATGTGTGATTAGTCTGCAGTGTGCTGATGATTATTTTGAATTTATATTACAAATCCACACTGTCAGAGAACCAAAGGGTCTAGGACAGCAGGTTTTTCACAATGATCATGGCTAATTTGAGTTTGCATATATTGGAGTTTCAGACTTTGCATAAATCCTTGTTTAGCTTCGAATTTTTATTAATCTAATCAAGTTTTTCTTCTGCAAATAAAGACCAATATGGGGAAACACATTGTATATTTGTGACATTTCTCATTACATAACAGTTTGATATAATTAGAGATACATGAAAACTCAAAACCGGAGTTTGTGAATTTTTCTTTTAACGAACTTGCCTATTTACTGCCCTCATACCTGCATTTTGCTGGAGCAAATGTGACATGTAGTAATCAATTAATGCACCCTATTAATTCACTTTGACTTAATTTGGCCACTTTGTGCATAGGTATTATTATGATATAGCCTTTAACTGCAGGGTCATATACTATTTTCCCCGCACAGGATCTTTGGTTCATTCAGTGCACGGGCTGGATGATGTTAGGGAATGAATTATGGCTGTGTAGTGAAGGAGAATGTTGTCTGTAGGACCAATGGCTCCCTTGTTGAAGAAGTTGGAAGATGTGCTGCAGGGAGACTTCAGGAAGCGCAAGGATTAGCTTTGTGGTTTACATAGTTAAATTCTACCCTGGAGAAATGGATTCTACAACCGCCTCTGACACAGAATTCCTATTTGATGCTGGGCAAGTCACTTAAACCAAAACTCTTCATAGGTGGCCACTAATTGTGTGTTCCTTATTTTCCGGGTGCCCAAATTGAGATACTTGGTGTCAGATTTGTAGGAATGCTGAGCAATTACAACTGCACCTGAGATCAATGGAAGCTGTACACCGTACAGATAAAGTGTTACAAAAAGGCTAAGTTCTCTGAAAAATCAGGCCTTAACTATCTCAACTGTGCATTCAGAATTAGTAAACAGTTGATAATTATGGCTTTACTTTCTCTGTGCCTAGAGTTCCCCATCTGTAAATAGGGATAATAATACCTCTCCACCCTACAAGGTGCTGTGAAGATAAGTTAATGTTTGTGAAGCACAAATTAGTTACAAATGTTATAGAAAAGAAAATTAAGAATTCTGCACTCTGTGCAGGGTTTGGATGGCATGCAGTTAATAAGGCGTATGGCCACACACTGAATGACAAAAAATATTGAATCCATTGAGTAAGCATTGTCCATATTGTGCACTGAATGAGGAAAGGGTCCAATGGAAAAAATAGTATGTGATCATCTAACTTGATAATTATCATAATGTATATGCACAAGGGGGACCAACTAAGCATGCACAACCTTAATTCTATCTTCTAACTCCCGCATGCGTGTCTTTGCAACCTTAACTTTCTTTTAACACAAGGGTTTTTTTTAAGTAATAGACCTGTACAGTAGAGCATGCTATTATCTGAAACACTGTCGTTATGAATAGAGTTATAGAAAGTAAATAAAGTTCTAAAGGATGCAATTAAAATTTAGGAAACCATATGGAAAAATAAAAGGTATTTAATTTTTTCTATAACTCAGTGGCTCTCAACCTTTCCAGACTACTGTCCCCCTTTCAGGAGTCTGATTTGTCTTGTGTGCCCCCAAGTTTCACCTTACTTAAAAACTACTTGCTTACAAGATCAAACAAAATACAAAAGTGTCACAGCACACTATTACTGAACAATTGCTTTCTCATTTTTACCATGTAATTCTAAAATAAATCAGTTGGAATATAAACGTTCTTACATTTCAGTGTGTAGTGTATACAGCAGTATAAAGAAGTATTTGTACGAAATTTTTGGGTTTACTGACTTAACTTGTGGTGTTTATGTAGCCTGTTGTAAAACTAGGCAAATATCGAGATGTGTTGATGTACCCCTTGGATGACCTCTGCGTGCCCCCAGGGCAGTGTACCCCCGGTTGAGAACCACTTTCCCTTCACCCCCTTGTAGGCCTGAGACCTAATCAATCCCCCTCTCCCCCCTTATTAAACCAGCCTTGGGTGAAACTCAGGGAGTTCACCACTGACATTAAAAAAAAGAATATTCTACTGCTAATAAAGCACCTCCACCTCAGGAATGTTCATAACTAGAGTTATGACCACCAAGGTTGTAACGCAGAGACATCAGGTGCTGGGAAATTAGGGAGGATATAGAAAGAGACTCAACAAATGGTAAGATAAGCTCTGACCAGCATTTTATGCTGACCCTCTCCACAAATAGAGAAGGTCACAATTAAGTTACAATTTGGGCATGAAAGATAAAATGTAAAGAGGACACATAGGTACCAGTGCATAATTGGTTACAATTTTTATTATTTAGGAGGGTGGGATAATGTGATAGTAAATTTGAAGGAGGTAGCTAGTTTTACCTATATAATGTAAATACAATTTCATAGATTCTAGGACTGGAAGGGACCTCGAGAGGTCATCGAGTCCAGTCCCCTGCCCGCATGGCTGGACCAAATACTGTCTAGACCATCCCTGATAGACAGTTATCTAACCTATTCTTAAATATCTCCAGAGATAGAGATTCCACAACCTCCCTAGGCAATTCATTCCAGTGTTTAACCACCCTGACAGTTAGGAACTTTTTCCTAATGTCCAACCTAGACCTCCCTTGATGCAGTTTAAACCCATTGCTTCTTGTTCTAACCTTAGAGGCTAAGGTGAACAAGTTTTCTCCCTCCTCCTTATGACACCCTTTTAAATACCTGAAAAATGCTATCATGTCCCCTCTCAGTCTTCTCTTTTCCAAACTAAACAAACCCAATTCTTTCAGCCTTCCTTCATAGGTCATGTTCTCAAGATCTTTAATCATTCTTGT